GTCAATTTTTTATATTAAAAATATATAATGCTAAACCTTGCGGAATATTGAACGTTCCCTACTCGCCCTTTATTGATCACCCGGGTTCACTTCTACTAATCTCCTAATGAGCTCTCCGGCGAGATCGTCGGCTTCGGGAACGAGCGCCGGGCAAGTTGGTGGCGCTTCCAGCAGCAGCAACGCTGGATTAATCGATGATGCTGTTTACCATTTCCCTACAGATCTCATATCCGTCCATGACCGAAAGGAGGCGGTCCAGTCCGGTAATCATTCAAATCCCATTCAATACGTTTCGTTATATTTTCGACACACTAGGGTTTTTCTAAAAATTTGCAATTGATTATTGCGATAATAAGTTTAGTCGGTTTCTTCTTCTAACCATTTTCTATGCGCTTGAACGCTTGTTGCTAAGTTCTGAAGTCGGATCTGACGGCGGCGCTCCAGAAGGAGTTGAAATCCATGGACGAAGATAGTTGGATGTTTTCTGGTCCTCGCTCTCAAATTAATCTTGTTCTAAGACCAGGTACATTTTCCTGTTCTATGATGGCTATGACTCCTCTATGTGGTGAAAGGATCGGTGAATTTTCTTAATTTATTATTTTTACTTGCAAGTCTTTTTTTTTTTTTGAAATAGGTAGCCATAAATCTTAAAGTATGTGGCTTGAATCCTTCAGTTTCAATAAACATCCTTCTCCTCTAATTTTAACTAATGGGCGACCTGCCCTTTCACCCTTGCAAGGCATACGGAAGACAAGTTCTTTTGATTTGAAAAAACTGCTTTTTTTAATGCTCCTTGAGTCTTCTGGGTCCATCTGTCTTATTCTCTAGTTCAATCGTTTTTTATGTTTGCAAAAAAATTTAGAATATCATGATTTGTGGTCATGGCAGTCATACCAATCTCAAGTTAGTGTCTTATTTGAATAGCACCTACCGAGATCACCATAATGGAACACAAAAACATGATGGTCAATGAAGTATGTGAGGTATTGTCAAGATTGTTAGCCCTAAATATGCTAAAAAAATCATCCCTTGTCACATTTAATTGAAAATTTCAATCTGCTGCATTTGAAGTGAATGAATTTTTGACTAGTTCTTCTCAAATTTTTTACTACGAAATGAGCATATACTTGAGAAGGTTGGAGTAGCTCTAGTGGAAGATAAAGATTAGAGAGAGTTGCCTTAGATGGGTTGGTCACATAAAACGGCTTATTTTGATGACCTGGTTAGGAAAGTAGATGTATTAGATATAACTTATGTTAAGAAAGGTAGAGAAAGAACTAAAAATACTTGGTTAGAAAATATTAAAAATGACATTTCTTTATTAGATTTAAATGAGAATTTAACTTTTAACAGGGCACAATATAGAAAAAGTTTTCATGTAGTGGACCCAACATAGTGGGATAGAGGCTTGATGTTGTTGCTGTTGTTCTTCTTCTTCTCAAGTTTCTTCCTCTCATATCAAAACTTTCTCTCTTTATCCCAAAATGCCACTTTACTATGTCTTTCAATCTTGTTATTTCTTCTACTTCACAATTGATTACCAACCTACGATAGTTTTACGGGAAGCCAGGTTGAAAGGGCAGATCACTACCATTGCCCTCAACTTCTAACAATCAATTTTGCATGTGCTCCAATTGTCATTCTTGCATGCAACATTAGAAAACAAGGCGAGATATTCTGGAGATACCCTGAAATAGAACCTATATAATTGCAATTTTTCATGTGACCCAAGGTGCAACTCAATTGCTTTGATCTCACTAATTAATTGCAGAGGAGTGGATGATGAGGAAAATGGGTTATATTGCCTTCCTAGTGAGAATGTTTTTAGGCTTGTCAAAGTTTTTATATTCCAAATTAAGTCCACATTCTTCAAATGAGGGGCTTGAGTGGTGCCATACGGCATGGTTTAGTTGCTAAATGAAGTTTATTTAAAAATTCAACCACTGTAAAATTATGTAGTATAGTAAGGGATTTATAATGGTTTTAGATATGTGATATGATAAAAAACGCTTCTAGAAATAGAAGAAAACTTTTGTTGAAAAATAGTAAATGGGGAAGATCTATGTGAAATAACACAAGTGAAAACTCTTAATTGATTATAAAAAGAAGAAAAGAAACAAGATACAACGGATCTTTAATGAAGAGGAAGATCTGGCTTTCCCAAACCCTAGCCGCCCGCCCACTAGAGTCCCTTTTTATCCTTAAGAAAACTAAATTAAGCAAAACATGACATAACCCTAACATGAGAAAAACCCCCCACTTAAAGCATATAATAATATTGTGAATCCCAAAGCAGCCTCCCTCTTTGAATTATTCCTCTTAATAAGATCTTAATTCTTTCTCTAAATGGTTGTTGGACCCCACTTGGAGAGGTGGCGGATGTTCCTAGGCAGAACGACAGTTCTGCCTCTGATAGATAAAATTCGGTTCCTTCTGGACCGGCTGGATTGGTCCCTCCTAGATCGATCTAACAATACCCGCTCTGAAAGAACCACATTGTCCTTAAGGTGGAAGGACGGAAACTGATGCTTTACTCTCTTGTACGGCTCCCATGTGACTTCATAGGCGAGTCGATTCTTCTACTTTATCAGCACTTCCTTGAGCCCACCCTCTCCCTGTAGTACTCCTTTTAGCTCTAGTGGTTCTAATATAACCTCCAAATCATGTGTTAGGGTCACATGTAACTCTAAGTTGGGATTTGATCCCCAATAGCTCTCCTCAACTGTGACACGTGGAGCACTGGGTGTATGGTAGCAGTTGGGGGTAATCTCATAATGGCCAAAGTACATCAGGACCAACTTTTCATTCCTCATATTAGTTATCATGCTTTGTCTGTAGGGATGAAGCTTCAAGTGTACTTTATCCCTTATCTCAATCTGGATATTATTCTTGCGTCCATCTGTCTGCTTCTTCATAATTTGGTGAGTCCTCAACAAGTGTATTTTTAATTCATCCAACACCCCAATCCATCTCCTCTAGATACTGCTCCACTAAATAAACTGATGTACTACTCTTCCCAAATTGCACAAAGTGAGGTGGATTCCTTCCATACAATACTTTAAAAGGAGTTATCTTGGAAGCTGAGTGATATGAAGAGTTTACTTGTATTCTGTCCATGCTAGCCACTTGGCCCGCGATCAAGGTGTCTATGAAACAAAATATCACAGATGTCTCGAGGCTCCTGTTTACCACCTCCATCTGTCCATCTATTTGGGGTGGTAAGCAGTGCTCCTCTACAATATTGTCCCCTACAAACTAAACAGCTCCCTCCAAAAATGACTAAGAAACACCTTATCTTGGTCTGACACTATAAATTCCTATATCCCATGCAGTCTAACCATCTCTTTGATTAATGTTGCAGCCACTGTCACTATCGTGTAAGAATGTCATAGTAGAATGAAACAAGCATACTTACTCAACCTATCAACCACCACCAAAATTATTATAAACTCTTAAGATCGAGGTAACCCATCTATAAAATTCATAGTGACCTCCTCCCACACTCTGTCTGGAAGAGCTAGTGGTTGTAGTAATTGTATCGTCCCAGAATCAAATTTTGAAAAATTATTTATTTTATCTTCTTAATTAATCAACCAAAGCTTCTATAAATCATCACAGTAATAAATCTATATTCAATGAAAGCTGCTAACAATCATATACCTCAAAATATTTTACTATATTCTCAAAATCAATGTACAATAGCTATGAGATCATTACAAGTATTACTCTATCACAAACTTCTGACTATAAAAGAATAAGAGAAAATATAAATAAAATCAAAAGAAACCTGATTATCCCTACCTACCTCACTTTAACTTGGTCCTTACCTCTTTCTTAACCCGAAATCATTTAAACCATATATATTGAGCTAAACAACCCAACAAATAATTAAAACTCTATCACTATTTTTAATGCAAGGCAAAAAAATCAATATGTATATTTTTAATGCAAGGCAACATAATCAATAATTAAAGCAACTAGGCCGACTGATGAAAATAGCTCCGCAACCTTCAAATCCTAACTTTTTCTTTCTATTTTCTTTTCCTCTCATTTTCTCAAACCATTTCTCTGTTAGTCAATTTTTGGAATAGGAAATGAGTTAAGTGATGCTTTAAGATATTGTAATAAAATAATAATTAATATATTTATTTTATATTAATTTTAGTAGTAATAGACCTAGTGGAGGGATTGTGACTTTGGGCGATTAAGTCATTAATAAGAGTACATGTTTTAGATATATTTGATTTATTGTTTGGAGTGATGGTGAAATAGATGGGGATATTATTAGCATAATTCAAGTTGGATGGTTGAAGTGGAGAAATGCACCGGGCTTCTTATGTGATAGAAAAGTCCCCCTCAAACTTAAGGAAAATTTTTATAAGATGGTGGTGAGATCTGCGATGCTTTATAGTGCAGAATGTTGGCTATTAAAAGAGAAGCATAATACTAAGTTAAGTGTTCAAGAGATGAGGATTCTTTGGTGGATAAGTGGATTTACCCTTTAAGACAGGATACAAAATGAGTATATACGTGAAAATGTTGGAGTAGCTTCAATGGAAGATAATATTAGAGAGAGTCATCTTGGATGGTTTGGTCACATAAATGATGGTCTTTCGATGTCCTAATTAGGAAAGTAGAAGTATTAGATTTGATTTATATTAAGAAAAGTATAAGTAGACCTAAAATGACTTGATTATAAAATATTAGAAATGATTTTTTTTATTAAATTTAAACGAGAATTTAACTTTTAACGGGACACAATGGAGAAAAAAATTCATTTAGCTGACCCCACGTTATGGGACAAGCTGATGTTATTGTTGTATAATTATTTTATTAATCAAATTTTAATATAAAAGTTATATGAATCCTTTTGGGGCTTAAAAATTATAGAAAAATATTCATAACTGAGCTTATTTTATTTAGAAAATACTGGTAAAATCGGTTTGCAAAATGGACACCTAACGGTCTCAAAATCTCCACTTGTATTGACATGTATCAATTTTTTAAGAATTTGCATTAGTGTAAAAAAATTACGAAAAAAATATTTTAATTAAAGCAATAATATCTATCTTATGGCGAAGATGGTTTTCAAATTTAATTTAAAATGACACATAAAATATTTCTTATTTGGGTCAAAATACAGCCTATTACAATAATCTCCCTGGAGTCATGGTCATGTATTTATTCTTCTTGCATACCTCACATCTAGCCACCAACCCTCTACATCTTTGTGCATTCCCTTCAAATACAACTCTATTGTGAACCTCCTATATGTCTTCTGCACACAAGAATGAGCTCTAATAGCGCTCCCATGGAATTCACGCAGTAGGTGTGGAATATGGACTGAGGTCTGTCGCAACACGAATCTCCCTTGGTGTAACAGTCTCACATTCTCTAGGGAATAACCAAGGTGGCTACTCTCATCTCTCAATAGATCCGCCCTAATTCTTCCATGCTCCTCATTCTGCATATTCTCCTCCTTAATAGCCCCCCAATCCAGCATTAGTGGTATCGAAATGGCCA